ATATTATATATATATATATATATATATATATAAAGCTGAGTATTGTTGTTAGAGGCTTAGTCTCATATGAACAGACAGAAATATTTGTATATATATATAATCTGCTTAAATATATATATTGTATATATATATATATATAGATGTATATAGGTATATATATTATATATATACATATGTCCGCCTCTATCTACATCTATAAATATTTATACAAACATATATATATAAGTATATATATATAAGTATATATGTATATATGTATATATGTATGAGTATTTATCAATGTGTATATTTATATACACACCTATTGATACAAATAAAAGTATTTTAAGAAGAAAAAGACAATAAAAGTTTTTGTGCATTGTCTAGCGGAAGTCTCGCCCAGAAACAAATATCATATCGCTTGCACAAACAAAGAAAAACATCAACGAACATATATAAATATATAAATATAATATATATAATATATAAATATTATATATATTATATAAAATATATGTATATATGTATATATATATATATATATACATATATATGTATAGATGTCTGCGTTTATGTATATACATACATATATATATATATATGTATATACATATATATATAATATATATATATATATTTATCTGTATATATATATATATATGCATATGTACATATATGAATATATACAGAAGGCAGGTATAGCATCAACAGTAACTTTCACATGCTGCCGTCTCTGCTGCTGCTGCTGCTACACCTGCTGCTGCTGCTGCTGCTGCTGCTGCTGCTTCTGGAAGTGGTGTTTAGCAAAGGTAGCAGCAACAAGAAGGGGGAAGGTGAGTGTAGCATCAGCAGTAACTTTGACATGTTTCTTTGAAGGTTTAAGCTTGCCCCAGCTGACAGCTTCTTCAGGCTTCGCCCCGGAGTCGCTGCCGTCAAACTCTGCTGCAGCATTAAGATAAACAGCAAACTCTGCGCCGCCCTTCATTAAATTCGCGTTGCACAGATGATGCTTCGGAGTGCCGCCCCCCAGCAGCAGCAAACCTGTGCAGCAGCACTTGGAGGCTAAATCGTTTATCTTTCTTATATCTTTTGCGACATCTATTATTAAACCCGGGTTTCTATATGAATGAAAATATATATTATCGCCGAGGCTACCGTCTGTTATACCCGGACAAAATATATCTATATTATTTCTATAACACCAGTATAAGAAACTTTCTTCTGCTGCTGCACCTGCTGTCTCTCCTATTGCTTGTCCTAGATACCGTATTAACTCTGACGGGCTCAATACAACATCTGGCAGATGTACATCTCCTGCTGCTGCTGCTGCTGCTGCTGCTGCTGTTGTTGCTGCTGCTGCTGCTTCTCCTGTTTCTGTTGCTGTTGTTGCTGTTGTTGCTGTTGATGACGGCGTTGCTGCTGCTGATGCATCTGCTGCTTCTCCTGTTGCAGCTTTCGCACCACTACCACCCCCACCCCCACCCCCAGCAGCAGCAGCAGCAGCAGCAGCAGCAGCAGCAGCAGCAAGTTTGCGTCTTTGCTGAATAAGGAGTCTATCAAGATGGGGCTGCAGCCAGTCCTCGAATTTGCAGTAGTTTTCATTCGGCAGCAGCAAATTGCCTATCCTGTTCCAGCCCTTCTTTCTTAGGTCTTGTCCTTTTAGGTCAAATTCGCCGACAACTGTAGGGCCGAAGCATTTTATTATATCTTCTTCAATACCCCCCGCTGAAGTTACTGCACCTACAATATATTTATTCTTTGCTAAAAACACTAAACTTTCTCTCAATCCTGAACTTATCATATTCGATGTAAAGCTCACCCATATTGAACAACGATCCTGCTCCTGCTGCTGCTGCTGCTGCTGCTGCTGCTGTTGCTGTTGCTGTTGGTGGTGCTGGGGGTGAGAGGCAGCAGAAGACGCAGGGGTGTTGTTGTGGTTGGCATCTTCATCGCTGCTGTCTTCACTGCTGCTGCTGCAGCTGCTGCTGCTGCTGCTGCAGTTGCCGAGATCTGTGGGGTGTAGGCCGTGCTGCAGCAAGAGCTTTTTAGCGTTTGCTTTTTTTTGTCTTTTGTTTTTTCTGTCTGCTTTTGCTTTTCTTTTTTCTTCTTTTGTCTGAGGCCGCCAGCTAAGCATATCATTTACAACATTAATAGCTCTACCCAACTCTGTTGCCTGAAAGCCTGTGGTTAGCAGCTGCTGCAGCAGCAAATCTAGAGTAGGAGCAGCAGCAAAATCATATCCTCGAACATTTAAAGCATCACCAGGAAGTGGTGTTGATGCCTGAAGCACTGCAGCACTTGCTGCAGCAGGGTAGCTTGAAGGCGTGCTGTAAGTACGTCCAAAGGGGCCGTTGCTGCTGCTGCTGCTGCTGCTGCTGTTGGTTGCTGCTGCTGCTGTTGCTGTTGCTGGTGTTGGTGCTGCGCCGGGATTGGAGGACGCATCAGATCCTACAGCAGCAGCTGATGATGATGCTGGTTTTGCTGCTGCTGCTGCTGCTGCTGCAGCAACACATGAAGGAGAACCTCCGGTCAACATCCTTACACAGCAATAGCGCAACCACTCGCAGCAGCAGCAGCAGCAGCAGCAGCAGCAGGCTTGAAGAGTTGTAGGGAGCAGCAGAAAAAGAATAAATTAAAATCTTAGAGGTAAATCAGTGCTTTTAACAAACATCTTGCTGCATGTCTTGCGTGTGGGGCCCCCCGCATGCAGCTGCTGCTGCTGCTGCAGTATCGATCCGCAGCAGTAGCTGCAGCAGCAACGACTGGGCCTCGAAACCATTGCTGCTGCTGCTGCTGCTGTTGCTGCTGTTTAGGTAGTAGAGTTTCGCTGGTGTGTTAGTTTTGCTGCAGCAAAAGTGAAAAGGCTTTGCTGCTTCGTTTTTTTAGGGTTTAGGAGGCCTCTTTAGCCGCTGCTCTTCGAAGCCTAAAACGTGTTGCTGCTGCAGCCGCAGCTGCTGCTGCTGCTGCTGTTGCTGCTGCTGCTGCTGCACGCCGTGATACTGACGAGAGGCTAGATTGCTCTGTAGCTTCTTTTATATAGAAGCAGCAAATTTTCTTTTTAAATTTCATTTCTTGACGAGCAGCAAACCTGCTTCTCTCGCCGCTGCCGAAAGCGCTGCTGCTGCTGCTGCTGCTGCTGCAGCAGCTGCTGCAGGTGATGCAGCCGCCTCACGGCGGCCGCCAGCAGCAACACCGCCACGACAGCTCCTTTTTACTTAGCAGCATTAGCTGTCACTAGCAGCAGCAACAACAGCAGCAGCAGCAACAGCAGCAGCAGCAGCAACAGCTGCATCAGCAGCACGGCAGCTGCAGCAGCAGCAGCAGCAAAATGCACAGCACAGATTTGAAGGCTGCCCGCCAGAAGGCGAGGGCTGAGGGCCCTCCTGCTGCTGCCGAGCACCTGCGAATAACTCTCTCGCAGCAGCAGCCAGCAGCAACAGCAGCAGGAGGTGCGCTGTTTGCTTCAACAAAGACGCTGCAGCAGCTGCGGTTAGTGGAAGGCGCGCAGCGCCTCTTTAGGCTCGAGAGCGGACAGCAGCTGCCAAGCAGCAGCAGCAGCAGCAGCAGCAGCAGCAGCAGCAACGGCATCCCACTCACCAACGGCAGCAGCAGCGACGACACCACACCCAACAACACCAGCAGCAGCGACAACAGCAACTGCAGCAGCAGCAACAGCAGCAGCAGCAGCAGCAGGGCGTGCGTTGTGATAATCCGCAATGCTTCTTCGCTAGGTACAGCTGAGGCGCTGCCTTTGATGCATTTCGTAGCAAGTGCAGATGTATGGTGGGCCTTAGGCCTGGCTTCACAGGAGCAGCAGCAGCAGCAGCAGCAGCAGCAGCTGTCAGTGATGGCGTCGCTGCTGCCGCTGCTGCATGCACCTGTCACGTGCACTGAGATCGAGCTGCAGCTGCTGCACGTCTATACCACCACACCACCGCAGCAGCAGCAACAGCAGCAACAGCAACAGCGGTCCTTACCCTGGGTTTCAGGCGGAGCAGCAGCAGCAACAGCAGCAGCAGCAGCAGCAACAGCAGCGCGTACCAAGCCCCCTGCTGCATGGTGGGCGGAGCTGCTGGAAGGCAGCCCACCTCAAAATAGCAACAGCAGCAACAGCAACAGCAACAGCAACAGCAGCAGCAAAGGGAGCAGCAGCAAAGGCAGCAGCAACAGAGGCAGCAAGGCATGCGTAATGAAGGAGAGCTTGCGCCGTGTTGCTCGTCTGTCTCTTCTTTGTCGCTTCTTTCAGCAGCAGCAGCCGCTGCAGTTTTCTCTTGGGGGTCTCTGCTGCGTCTGGGTCGCCAGAGTTATCGATCAAGAAGCAGCAAATACCCAGCAGCAGCAGCAGCAGCAGCAGCTTTACAGAGTCACGCCTGAGACGAAGGTTCGGCTGTCGCTCCATCCTGAAGCTGACATATTCGCGCAGCAGCAGCAGCAGCTGCAGCAGCAGCAGCAGCAGGAAGGGCAGCAGCTGCTACAACAGAAGGAGGGACAACCGATGGGCCTTCAAAAGTGGGCTCATATTGACACGTAGCAGCAGCAGCAGCAGCAACAGCAGTAGCAGCTGCAGCAGGAACAGCAGCAGCAACAGCAGCAGCAGCAACAGCAGCAGCAGCAGCAGGGACGGGAGGCTAGAGTTTAGTGTTTAGGATCTAGGGTTTTTTACTGCAGTATCATCCCGAGTGCCCTGACGTTTGCTGCTCCGTATATCTTGCTGCTGCTGCTGCTGCTGCTGCTGCTGCTGCAGGCTGGCGGGGAGTGGAGCTGTGCTGCAGCAGGTATTCTGGCAGCTGCTGCTGCCTCTGCTGCGCCCTGATGCATTTGGGGCATATGGACTGCAGCAGCCGAACGGTTTGCTGCTGTGGGGCCCCCCAGGGACAGGAAAGACATATTTAATGAAGGCTGTTGCTGAGGAGATGCTGCTGCTGCAGCAGCGCATGCAGCAGCAGACTGATGCTGCTTACGACAGCAGCAAAGCTGCGGCAGCAGCAGCAGCTGCTGCTGCTGCTGCAGCGGGGCTAAACAGCAGCAATCGAGAGGGAGACACAGCAGCAGCGTATTCGGAGCTGCTCTTCTCCCTCGTAACTGGCAGCTGGCTGCAGCAGCAGCAACAGCAGCAGCAACAGCAGCAGCAGCAGCAGCAGCAGCAGCAGCAGGAGAGAGTTGTTGTTGTGCTGCCTGAAGTGAGGCTTGTGCACTCAACAGAGTTAATTGGGTCTGCACCTGGAGAGACAGAGGAGAATATTCATCTCCTCTTTCAAGAGTGCTCTCGCAGGAGTGCTGAACGCGTGCAGCAAGCAGCAGCAGCAGCAGCAGCAGCAGCAGCAGCAGCAGCAGCAGCAGCAGCAGCAGCAGCAGCAGTGCGCGTTGTAGGGGGCCGCACTTTGTTATTTATCGATGAAATTGATGCGCTCTGTCCCCATAGACCCTCAGCAACGGAGGTGGGAGCGCCTGCTGCTGCTGCTGTCTCTGCTGCTGCCGTCTCTGCTGCTGCTGTCTCTGCTGCTGCTGTCTCTGCTGCGATCTCTGCTGCTGTGTCTGCTGCTGTCTCTCTTGCTGTCTCTCTTGCATCCTCTGTTTCTGCCTCTGCTGCTGTATCTGCTGCTGCTGTCTCTTTTTTTCTTTTATATATATATATATATATCGTCCCTAGCTGCTGCTGCTGCTGCTGCTGTTCGTGCTGCTGCTGCTACGGCTGTTAATGATACTGCTGGTTCTCCTTTTGCTGCTGCTTTGACACTACTGCTGCTGTCACTTCTGCTACTTGTGCTGCTGCTGTTGCTGCTTTTGCTGCTGCTGCTGCTGCTGCTGCTGCTGCAGGCGGGGCGTCGTCAGGTAGCAGCACTGCTATCATGTTTAGACGGCCTTAGCAGCAGTTCTTTTGTTTTTGTTGTTGGTGCAACAAATCACAGAGAAGCAATTGATGAAGCTGTCAGAAGAGCAGGCAGGCTCGAACTAGAAATTGAGGTATGTGCTGCTGCTGCTGCTGCTGATGCTGTTGCTGCTGCTGCTGATGCTGTTGCTGCTGCTGCTCATGCTGTTGTTGCTGATGCTGCTCATGTTGCCGATGCTGTTGCTGCTGCTGCTGATGTTGCTGCTGTTGTTGTTGCCGCTGCTTTTGGTGTTGATACTGCTGCATGCATCCGCCGTTTGCTGTTGCTGCTGCTGCTGCTGCAGCTGGGTGTCCCCTCTGCGGGCGAGCGGCTGCAGATGCTGCAGAAGCTGCTGCAGCAGCTGCCGCACGAATTGAAGGAAGCTGAAATTCGGGAGGTGAGGAGACAGTCCCTTTGTCTCTTCTTAGCGGGTTTTATTGCTGTCTCATGCTGCTAGAATGCCTCATCCTAATCCTGCTGCTGCTTCTGCTGCTCTCCCTGCTGCTGCTGCTGCTGCTGCTGATGCAGATAGCTGACAGCACCCAGGCGTTTGTAGCTGCTGATGTGGCGTTATTGCTGCGGACGGCAGCAACATTTGCCCTTAAAGAAAGCCTTCTCCAGCAGCAGCAGCAGCAACAACAACAACAGCAGCAGCAGCAGCAACAGCAACAGCAGCAGCAGCAGCAGCAGCAGCACTGTTTGAATGTAGACCACATGCGTGCTGCACTTAAAGAGGTTGCGCCTTCGGGTTTAAAGGCTTTTTCTGTTGAATTACCTGCTGTGAGGTGGGGAGACATCGGAGGTTATGAGGAGACAAAGAGACAGTTAAAAGAATGTGTTGAGTGGCCGCTGCTGCATGCATCTCTCTTCAAGAAGCTGCTGCTGCTGCCTCCAAAGGGTTTGCTGCTCTACGGTCCGCCCGGCTGCAGCAAAACTTTACTTGCTAAAGCTGTTGCTACAGAAAGCAAAATGAATTTCTTATCTGTAAAGGTATATATAAATAAATTATAATTAATTATAATTAATTATTAATTATTATTTATTATTTATTATTTATTAATTATATACAATAATTATATTATTTTGTTAGGGTGGAGATATCAATATATAATAAACAACTGACAGCAAAATAAACTTTCTATCTGTAAAGGTATATATAAATAAATTATTATAAATTATTAATTATTAATTATAAATATATATTTATTATATTTAATTATTATATTTTATTATTATTGCGGAGATATAAATAATAATAAACAACGGACAGCAAAATAAACTTGCTTCTTGTTAATAATTTATAATTTATAATTAATAATTATAAATTATTAATTATTAATTATTAATTATTAATTATTTACATTATATGTAATAATTGTATATAATAATTGTATATAAAAAGTATATTTAATTATTATTATAGAGATATCAACAAACAATAATAAACAACTGAAGGCATGAAGGCTTTGTAAAAGTGTACTTAAATAATAATAAAAGATAAATATTAGTAATAACAATAATAAATAATAAATAATAATATAAGCATTAAGTAATTAATAATAATAATATAAATAATAAAGAGTAATTAACGATAAATAATAACAAAAAGAGCGTTTAGGGTTTAGGGTTTAGGGTTTAGGGTTTAGGGTTTAGGGTTTGTGCTACAGGGACCGGAGTTGTTTTCAAAGTGGGTTGGGGAGTCAGAGAAGGCCATCAGGGATTTATTCAGGTCTGGTGCTGCTGCTGCTGCTGCTTTTGCTGCTGCGTTTGCTGCTGCTTTTGCTTGTGCTGCTGCTGCTGCTGCTGCTTGCCTTGCTGCTGCTTTTCTCGCTCCTGCTACCGCTTTTGCTGTTGCTGCTGCTGCTCTTGTTGCTGCTTGTGCTGCTGCTGCTCTTGCTGCGGCTGATTAGCTGCTGCTGCTGGAGACAGTAGTATGGGTTGAAGGAGACAGTTGATGAGGAGACAGTTGATGAGGAGACAGTTGTGTATGTGTGCAGACGCGCTCGACAGAATTCGCCTTGTGTTATTTTTTTCGATGAAATTGACGCCTTGGGTGTAGACAGAGAAAGAGGAGACACTTCGGGTGTACGTACACCTGCTGCTGCTAATGCTGCTGCTGCTGCTGCTAATGGTGCTGCTTCTGATACTGCGGCTGCTAATGCTGCTGCTGCTTCTGATGCTGATGCTGCTGCTGCTGCTGCTGGCAATGCTGCTGCTGCTGCGAATGCTGGTGGTGCTAATGCTGCTGCTGCTGCTTGTACTGCGCGTCCGCATCTGCTGCTGCATCTGCTACACTTTCTGCTGCTGCATCTGCTGCTGCTGCTGCTGCTCGATAGGTGGAGAGTCGCGTATTATCTCAGCTGCTGACGGAGATGGATGGTGTGGGGCCCCACAGTTCAGTTGTAGTGTTAGCAGCAACAAATAGGCCGGATCTGCTTGATGCTGCGCTGCTGCGTCCCGGGCGTCTAGACCGTCTGGTGTATGTGCAGCTGCCTGATAGACATGCGAGGCAGCAAATAGCATTCAATACACTCAAACGAGTACCCATACACCCCAGCGCTGCAGCAGAAGCTGCTGCTCCTAATGCTGCTGCTGATCGTAGGGAGGCGCATGCAGACCCTGGGGAGCCTATGCAGCAGCAGCTGCAGCAGCAGCTGCAGCAGCAGCAGCAAAGTGCTACGAATATGCAGATGAATCCGAAAAGAGAAGACGGGCTCACAGAGGGCCTTGAAGAGCAGCAGCAACAGCAGCAGCATCATCAGCAGCAGCAGCAACAGCAAGAGAAGCAGCAGCAGCAAAACAGCCCTGCAGCAGCTGTAGCTACCTGGCTCAGTGTACGTACAGCTGGGTATAGTGGGGCTGAGATAGTTATGATTTGCAAAGAAGCAGCTCTAGACGCAATTAGAGAACATATTACTTGCTGCACAGCCCCACAGCAGCAGCAGCAGCAGCAGCAGCAGCAGCAGCAGGGTGAGCCTCCGCTGGCGGTGCAGCTGCGCCACTTTGAAGCTGCGCTGCAGCGCATGCAGCCCCGCACCCCACAGTCGCTGCTGCAGCTATATAAGCAATACAGCAGCAAGACACAAGGTGCAGCAACTCCTGCTGCTGCTGCTGCTGCGGAAGCAGCAGCAGCAACCACCGCAGCTTAGGCTCCAAGCAACTGGTTTGCACGCAGTAGTAGTCTCTCCTCTCGCTGCTGCAGCTGCTACTGCTGCTGCTGCACGTGCAGCAGCAGCAGAAGACCTTTGGCTGTGCAGCTGCAGCAGGTCGCAGGAGACGCCAAACTTTGTCAATTTTCTTTGTGTTTGCACTAGCAGCAGCAGCAGCAGCAGCAGCAACAGCAACAAGAGCAGCAACAGCAGCCGCAGCAGATGCTGTGCAATTTATTTCAGCCTCTAATGCACACACAGAGAAGCAGCAGCAGCAGCTACAACAAAATGTGCAGCAGCAGCAGTTTAAGCAACATGTGCAGCAGCAGCAGCAGGTGCAGCAGCAGCAGCAGCAGTCTAAACACTCGGAAGCACTTAATTTGCTTGCGTTTTACTAAAAAGAAAAATTCGTCTCCCTCAATGGAGACAGAAGGCAGACACTGCGACACCGACACCGCAGGCAGCCCGCTGCTGCTGCTGCTGCTGCTGCTGCAGTTGCAGCTGCAGCAGCAACTGGTGTTGTTCCTGCAGCAGGCAGCAGCAGCAAGCAGCTTCGAGGTAGAACCGCTGCTGCTGCTGCTGCTTCTGCTTCTGCTGCTGCTGCTGCTCTTGGTGGTATTGATGCCTCTGCTGTTATTCATACCACTGGTTGCGGTGCTGCTGCTGCTGCTGCTGCTGCTGTCTTGCATGTTTTGCTGCCGCTAGCTGCTGCCGCTGAAGTTGCTAGCGGCAGCTGCTGCTGCTGTTTGCAGCTGCCGCTGGACTTATTATGTTCTGCTGCTGCTAATGTTTGCTGCTGCTGCTCTGTTTGCTGCTGCTGCTGTTTGCTGCTGCTGCTTTATTTATTTAGGGTTGTCTAGAGGCCCTGACTGGGGGCTTTGAACAGATAAGGAGACCATTGGTCTTTGCTGCAGCAGATGCTCCGGCTGCAGCAGCTCCGGCTGCTGCCCCTGCTGCAGCAGCAACGCCTCCTGCAGCAGCAAATGAGTTTGTAAGAAATCATACCGCTCCCATATATGCCCTAAAGAGAAGTTTGTGTATCTTCCTTCAAACACCACCTTGTTCAAGCTGCTGCTGCTGCTGCTGCTGCTGCTGCTGTCACTGCTGCTGCTGCTGCTGCTGGTCTCCGGTGTGGGAACCCGGGGGACTATAGTCGCATGCCCCTGCGGCAGTGTTGCGCTTCTATATCCTTTTGCTGCTGCTGCAGCAAGAGCTTGCTGCCAGCGGAAGCTTCGGGCGACTTCCTTTACTGCAGCACCACCGACAGCCCCTGCTGCTGCTGCTTGCTGCACTGCAGCACCACCGACAGCCCCTGCTGCTGCAGAAACCATTGCGCCAACCAACCTACCAGCACTACAAACAGCAGCAACAGCAGCAGCAGCAACAGCAACAGCAGCAGCAGCAGCAGCAGCAGCAACCCTATCGCGCAGCACACACGCGTATAATAGGGTTAAAGTTGTGTCTATAGAAATAATTAATGAAACAAAAAATAACGAAGGACGAACTTTTCCTTAAAGCTGCCCTCCCCACTATCTGCTGCTGTGGCTGCTGCTGCTCTACTGCTGCTGCTGCTGCTGCTGCTGCTGCATGCATCCCCTGCCGCTGCAGTGCCTTTAGGGTGGTGTTAATTGCAAAAGACAAATAAATAAAAACCCTCAAATATAAATTCTATTTGCTGCAAATGTTTGCTGCTCTTGCTCGCAGCTGTTCGTTGTTGATGTTGCTGCTACTGCTGCTGCTGCTGCTGCTGCTGCTGCTGCTACTGCTGCTGTTGCTGCTGCTGCTGCACGTATTTAGATTTACTAATAAAATGTCTTTACCTCTACCTGAAAGCCTTTGTATCTATCTACACCCTCCGTCTATACGCAGACAATATTATACATTATGTATATATGATATATATATACGTCATATAATATGTATTGTCTACAATATATATATATATATATTATATATATATATACATATTTGGGGTGTACGTACACCCCAAACATTTGCTGCTTTTGAGTCTCCTTTAGGCCTTCTTTGAATTATATGCAGCATAAACAACGCTGGCTGCATTATGCTGTCTCCTCCGCTTGTTGTCTCCTTCGTCTCTTTTGTCTCCTTTGTCTCCGTTGTCTCTGTTGTCTCTGCTGTCTCCTTTGTCTCCGTTGTCTCTGTTGTCTCTGTTGTCTCGTTTGCCTCTGTTGTCTCTTTTTTGTCTCTTTTATCTGCTTTGTCTCTTTTGTCTCTTTTGTCTCTTTTTTGTCTCCTTTGTTTTTATGTCTCCTTTCTTTTTTGTCTCTCTTCTCTACTTTTTCTGTCTCCTTTTACAAAAGGAGACAGCCTCTACAACCATCACTCACTTTTAACTACATTTAATATGCACAAGAGCAGCAGCAGCAGCAGCAGAAGTAGCAGCAGCAGAAGCAGCTGCAGCAGCAGAATCAGCTACAACAGCAGCAGGTATCTTTCGAGCTGCGATTGAGGTTTAAGGGTTTAGGGTTTAGGGTTTATAACAACAGCGACTTCAAGACACAAAGCCCTAGCTAGCTAGTCACCCTTCCAGCTAGCTAGCTGGCTAGCTAGCTAGCTAGCTAGCCAGCTAGCTAGCCCCTGCCTGAACTAAGGGGAGTTGTATAGAAGTAAAGAGATGGCAGACCCCGACTGTCTCCGCAACTGAAACCATCCCCTTGCTGCTGCTGCAGCTGCTGTTGCTGCGGCTGCTGCAGCTGCTACTGCTTCTGCGTTGCTGCAGCTGCTGCAGCAGCAGCTACTGCTGCCTTAAAGTGCTTCTGCAGCAGCGGGAATTGAAGCATCAGGAGAGAGAATACGCTGTTAGGTGTCAAGACAGGCTGCAGCAAGTTGCTGTTGCTGCCGCTGCTCTTGCTGCTGCTGCAGCCGCTGCTGCTGCGCTTGCTGCTGCCCATTCCCTCTCCAGCAGCTAAAACTGGGGAAGCGGCTGCTGCTGAGGCTGCTGCTGCTGCATGTAGTGCTGCTGCTGAGGCTGCTGCTGCTGTATGTACGGTTGCTGTTGCTGCTGCAAGTAGGGCTGCTGCTGCTGTATGTATGGCTGCTGCTGCGGCTGCACTAATGACGCAACTTGCTGCTGCTGCTGCTGCACTGGGTAAGGGGGCGGCTGCGGTGGCCTCGGCACCTGGGGAAACTGAGGCTGTTGCTGCTGCTGCTGCACGTATTGTGGCAGCTGTTGCTGCTGCATATACTGCTGCGGGTGCTGCATATACTGCGGCTGCTGCTGCATATAGTGCTGCTGCTGCTGCTGCTGATATGAGCCTTGGAAGGCTGGCGGAGGAGGGGGAGGCGGGATCGCTGCATCATACAAATGATGCTGCTGCTGCTGCTGCTGCTGCTGTTGCTGCCATGGTGGTGGAGGTGAAGGCACTTGTGCAACGCCCAGCTGCTGCTGCTGCTGCTGCTGTTGCTGCATCCTACCTCTGCGAGATCGAGTGCGTCTGTTTGCCTGCTGCTGCTCTGTTTGCTGCTGCTGCTGCTGCTGTGCACCCTTACTCCTGCGCTGTTGCCGTTGCGGTTGTTGCTGCTGCTGCTGCTGCTGTTGCTGCTGCTGCTGCTGCTGCTCCTCATCATCCCCTGAGTCTTCTTCCCAATCTCCTCCATCCTCTGGGCGGCCGCTGAAGGGGCCGCTGCTGCAGCGCAGCAGCAAACACCCGAAGCTATACCTACAGCAGCAGCTGCTGCTTCAACTACTGATGCTGCTGCGGGCAACGAGTGCCGGCAGTACGCTAACGACGCCTGCTTCAGCAGCAGCAGAAACATCACCTGGTGGTGCAGCAGCAACCTGCTGCAGCAGCACCATGTTGCAGCAGCAACCTGCTGCAGCAGCACCATGTTGCAGCAGCAACCTGCTGCAGCAGCACCATGCTGCAGCAGCAGCAGCAAATCGAGCAGCAACTAACCTGGAGTGGAGGTAATCAAGGGCCTTCCCGTGCTGATCCAGCAGAAATGAGGCGTGCGCTACGTCACACAACACAGCCACACCCTGCAGCAGCAGCAGCAGCAGCAGCAGCAGCAGCAGCAGCAGCAGCAATTGTTGCAGTAGTATTAGTGGCTGCAGGAGAGACAAAGAAAGAGAAGCAGATAAAGACAAAAGAGACAGAAGAAGCAAAAAGCATAAGAGACAGACAGACGCATGCAAGCAGAGATAAACAAATAAGAGAGACAGATGGCACAGAAGAGACAGAAGGAGGCAATGTAAACATCAAAAATAAGACAAGTGCTGCTCACAGGCTTGAGGCTGTCTGCTGCTGCAGCAAGCACATCCTGCTGTACGTACACCACATAAAAAGGAGACGAAGTCGGCCCAAAAGTATCCGCCACCTGCAGCAAAAAGCAGCTCCCCCGATCACCTCTAGCTATCTAGCTAGCTAGCTAGCTAGCTAGCCACCTACCTACCTACCTAGCTGACTAGCTAGCTGCCTACCTAGCTACCTACCTAGCTAGCTACCTACCTGTCTACCTAAGCTAGCAAGCTAGCTAGGTAGCTAGCTAGTTAGGCAGGCAGCTAGCTAGTCAGGCATCTGCCCAGTAAATATAGCTGCGTGCTAGCATTAGAACTAGAGAGCTGCTTCGCTTGTCTATCAATCTATCTGTCTAGCTAGCTAGACAGCTAGCTAGCTAGCTAGATAGATAGATAGACAACAAACACAATGTAAGACGAAAAGAAGCAGCAGCAGAAGGCATCAAAACAAACACAGCCGACTGAAGACATACTACTAGTCCAGCAAGACCCCAAGCTAGCTAGGCAGCTAGCTAGACAGCTAGCTAGCTAGCTAGCTAGCTAATAACGTAGACGGTGAAGGGCTACTCACTACTCCTAAGATGCGGCGGTCTTCCAGACAAACAACAGAGCCCAAGTCCATCGGGTTCGAACCCTGCAGCAGCAGCAGCAGCAGCAGCAGCAGGAATAGCAGCAGCAGCAGAAGGCCTTCACAGTCGGGCGTAATGCTCCGAGCATACTGTCTGTCTCTATCTCTGTCTCTGTCTCTGTCTCTGCCTGTCTCTGTCTCTGTCTCTATCTCTGCCTGTCTCTGTCTCTGTCTCGGTCTGTCTCTGTTTCTGCTGTCTGTCTCGGTCTGTCTCTGTTTCTGCTGTCTGTCTGTCGCTGTCTCTGCTGTCTGTTTGTCTCTGTCCCTGTCTGTCTCTGTCTCTGTCTCTGTCTCTGTCTCTGTCTCTGTCTGTCTCCGTCTGTCTCTGTTTCTGCTGTCTGTCTGTCTCTGTTTCTGCTGTCTGTTTGTCTCTGGGTGTTTCTGTTTAACATATATATATATATATATATATATATATATATATATATATGATTATACAAATTCATATACACATGCATACATATATTAATTAATTTATTTATATTTATTTATATTTATTTATATTTGTTTATTTATATTTATTTATATTAATTAATAAATATAATTAACATCCTCACTGTCTTCGCCTTCACGCAGATGGCGGTGCCGATGATGGACTCAACAAAACCGCAGCAAATTAATTCACCCTCTTCAGGAACAAACGAAGGCAAATCAGCAACTTCTATAGGCTGCAGCAGAAGCAGCAGCAGCAGCAGCAGCAGCAGCAACAGCAGCAGAGCAGGAGCAGCAGCAGCAGCAGAAGGAACAGAAGAAGAAGCAGCAGCAGCAGCAGAAGCAGAAACAGCACAATGTTCCAGGCAAATGTAAGGCAGCTATTTCCAACCCAAAACATGTGCAGCAAACGGCAGCAGCAGCAGCAGAAGCAGCAGCAGGAAAAGGGGCAGCAACAGCAGCAGAAGCAGCAGCACCAGCTGCAGCAACAGCAACAACAGTAACGGCAACAACAGCAAGAGCACAAGCAGCAACGGTATACAGCAGCAACAGCAACACCAGGAAAGGCATTTGCACCAGAAGCAGCAGCGGCAACAGCAGCAACAGCAGCAGCAGCGGCTGCAGCAGCAGCAGCAGCAGCTAACTTGTATGAGTGAGCGCAGGTCTTCCTTTGCTGCCGCTCCCGCTTCCTCTTCATCGCTGCAGCAATCTGCTTCCATGGCATCCGCTGCTGCTGCTGCTGCATCTGCTGCACCTGCTGCTGCTGCTTTTGTTCCCTCTCTTGAATCCCACTGCTGCAGCAGCTGCCGCTGCTGCTCAAGCTCTCCCTCTGCTGCTAGCCCAGTGCCAGCTGCTGCTGCTGCTGCATTTGCTGCGGCTGCTGCCGTCTTAGAAGAGCCCAAAGGAAGCTCCTCATCTTCGCTATCGCTGCTGTTGCAGCTGCTGCTGCTGGTGCTGCTGCTGCGACGGGCAGCAGCAGCAGGTGGCCGCTGCATCAGTTTCGGGTGTACGGGCTCCGCCAGCTGCAGCTGCTGCAGCAGCAATGCGTCTGCCTGCAAGACAGCAGCAGCAGAAACACCAACAGCAGCAACAGCAGCATCTAGCAGCAGCAATCAGCACCGGTATCAAGACGAACGCAGAAGCAGACGGAAGCTAGCAGACAGCAGCAGCACAAACAGCAACACCAACACCAGCACAAGGAGCAGCAGCAGCACCAGCAGCACCAGCAGCACCAGCAGCAGCAGCAGCAGCAGCAGCAACAGCACACCTGGGCCACATGAGCTGCCACAATAAGATCATCAATTTCTGTTTCTCCATCTATAACAATTTCCCTCTGCAGCGCCTCCTGCAATTTGCTGCAGCTGCTGCTGCTGCTGCTGCTGCTGCTAGCCATTGGGACGGCAGCAGCTGCGGTCGCTCCTGCTGCTGCTGCTGTTGCTTCCGGCAAAGTTTCTGCTGCTCCAGATACCGCTGCCTCCGGTGCTTCTGTTGCTGGAGTTGCTGCTGCTGCTGCTGCTGCTGCTGTCACTACTCCCCCTCCGCCTGATGAGACCTCAACGCCGCAGCATGAGGAGGTCCCTGCAGCAGCTGCTGCTGCTGAAGGTGCTGCTGCAGTAGCAGCAGCAAAAGGCAGCCCTGCTGCTGAAGGAGCAGAGGGTTGTCCTGCTGCTGCTGCTGCTCCTGCTGGTACTGCAGCAGCAGCCGTATCCACGCAAGCAGCAGCTGGCTGCTGCTGCTCCACAGGTGCGAATTGTGCTGCTACCGGTACAGCAGCAGGAGCAGCAGCTGCTGCACTTGCTGCAGTTGCTGCAGCTGCTGGTGCCCCTACCGGGACATTAGGCTCAGTTGTGGGGCGAGCGCTGGGATCGATTCCTGGAGGCGATCCCACATCGGTGCCTACTGCTGCTGCAGCGGCAGCAGCAGCAGTACCTGCAGCAGCAGCAGCATCTGCAGCAGCAGGAGCACAATCCAGAGTGGATGGAGCAACAGAGCCCACAGCAGCAGCAGCAGCACACTGCTGCAGCTGCTGCTGCGCTGCTGTTTCTTGCTGCTGCAGCATACTCTGTAAGCCCCCGGGTCTCGCAGGGCCTCCTGCTATAAATAGTGCAGCAAAAAGCAGTTTGCTGTCAACCCGTACAAAGAAGGCAACAAAAATTAGAGAGCAACTGCCGTTGCGTCTGCTTCTGCTGCTCAGCAGCAGCAGCAGCAACAGCACGTCGAGCTGGTGGGCCCCGGGCCCCACAGCAGCAAGAAAGAAGAGAGATATATGCTTTTCTTCTCTGATGTTATATTGTGAATATCAAAAATATATTTAATTTTTGTATTACTTGCAATGTAAAATAAAAAGAATACTCCGGAGAGGCCCTGCTGCTGCTGTTGCTGCTGCTGCCGATGCAGCTGCTGCTACTGCTGCTGCCGATGCTGCTGCTGCTGCTGCTGCTCTTCGCAAAAACGCTGCAGAATTTCTCAAAAACAAAACTTCCTAAGGAATCGTTTGCTGCAGCTTCAGGGGCTTTAAAACAGTGGGAGTAGCCACAGCAGCAACAGCAGCAGCAGCAGTAGAAGTATGGGCGATATAATATCGAGCCTGCTTGAGGTGTCTGTACACCGCAGCCTTCCTGTGCTCTGGAAGACCGCATTAATAGGAAGCTAAGCTGCACACAAAACATTTATTTACACCTGAGCAGAAGCAGCTGCATCTGCTGCAGCCATAGCAGTAGCTGGTGCTGTTGCCATTGCTGCGCTGCTGCTGCTGTTCCTGTTGCTGCTGCTGCTGCTGCTGCTGCTGCCGCTGAAGTCAGAGGTAATTTGCTGTTGTAATGGGCAGCTGATCCGTGTGCATGCAGGACCAAACGCATGCACAAGCAGCAGCAAACGTAAGCGAGAAAAGAAAGGAGAAAAAGTTAAGTTGCGAGCCGCATGCATTGTAGCTGTATATACAGTAGAGATTGCTGCTGCCTATACACCAGAAAATTATGATAATAAAAGTAATAGTAATGATAATGCTGCTGCTTGTATATTGCATATAATATACTAACAGCAGCATTATTATTACTATTGTTATTCTTATTATTACTATTTATTATTAATATTGTCTATTATTATTAGAGCTTAAACAAAATGATAAAACAAACAAACAGCAATTCTTCTCCCTGCCTCTTCTCGAGGCGCTGCAGTTATTGCTGCACAGCAAATAATATAAACAAATAGATAGATAGATAAGAAAATAAATAATAACAGATAAATATACACATAAATATATATAAAAAGAAATAAGTAAATAAACAAACACTTAAAAAGACAAACAATCACACTCCTGCCACTCTTCCTCAAGGCCCAGTAGCTGCATCAATTGCATGCACGGCTGCTGCTGCTGCTGCTGCTGCTGCTGTTGCTGTTGCGAGACCAGCTGCGTGAGCTGCACCCACGGAGTGGTTATGAGAAGCTCTACAGCCTTGTCGATTTGCTGCTGCGGCAGACTGAATGGCTGCTGCTGCTGCTGCTGCTGCTGCTGCTGCTGCTGCTGGTCAGGGGAGGTTACCTCTGCTGCAGGTAGCAGCAGCAAAAAGGAGTATAGCTGCTCAGCTGCTATCGCCCTCAACTTGGGGAACCTGCGAAGCAGCAACAGCAGCAAAAGCAACACAAATGACGGCAGAAGAAACAGCAGCAGCAGCAACACGAGCAGCAGAAGCAGCAACGCCAGCAGCAGCAACGCCAGGAACAGCAGCAGCAGCACCAGGAACATCAAAACCAGCAGCAGCAACACCAGCAGCAGCAGCAGCAACACTAGCAGCAGCAGCAGCAGCAACACCAGCAGCAGCAACACTAGCAGCAGCGGCAGCAACACTAGCAGCAAAGTCTGCTGCTTCTATGCAGTTAAATTCGTTAGTAGCAGCCTTCTGGTTTGATATGCATACGGATGCCTCAAGAAGCGGATGGCGAGACAGCAGCTCACGCGCTGCGCATGCGCTGCTGCTGCTGCTGCTTCTGCATCTGCTGCCATGTCTGCTGCTGCGCCTGCTGCAGAGGGTATTCGGGGCCTCGCAGCAGCAAGGGAGACCGCTAAGATGCATGTGCGCCGCAGCATGTCAAAGTCCTGGGTGCCTCTCCTGCTGCTGCTGCTGCTGCTGCCTTTACGGACTCCCACCAGACGCCAGAGGGCCTGCAGCAGCCGCGGTACTGCAGCAGCAGCAGCAACAGCAGCAGCAGCAGCAGCACAATCACAAGAGCAGCGCAGCGGCATGAATGAGCATGCACCATGCCTAATGAATGCTGCTGCAGCTGCTGCAGGTACTGCAGCTGCTGCAGCTGCTGCAGCTGCAGTGCGTCAGGTGTACGTACACTGTAACATTTAAGAAGGTATTATTTTAAGCGATTGTTTGCCTCACCGTCTGCTGCTGCTAAAAAGTTGTTCTGCAGCAGCAAAGCGCATGCAGATGTTGCTGCTTCCCGCAGCTTCTTCTGATACTCCGCGTGGCCCGCTGCTTTTGCTGCTGGTGCTCCCGATTCTGCTGCTGCTGCTCCTGCTGCTGCTCCTGCTGCTGATGAACTCATAGGCTGCTCCCAAGTACTCATCAGCACCTCTACGATAGCACTACCCACGTCCGCAGCCGCTCCTTGCTGCTCCGCATTCTGCTGCTGCTGCTGCTGCTGCTGCTGCTGCTCGTGTTGCTGCTGCTGCAGCTGCTCTTTACGGGCCCGCAGCGCCGCTGCGATCAAGGCTGCATATGTTGCCTTATCATCTTCAAGCACAATGCTCTGCTGCTGCTGCTGCTGCTCCACCTGCTGCTGCTGCTGCTGCATGCTATCTGCAAGCAGAAGCGCAGTGAAGGCTCCCCCTTGTGCGCTGGCTGCTGCGCTGCCTAGGGAAGCACCAAGGCCGAGTGCAGCTCCTGCGGCAGCAGCAGCAGCAAACTGCCGCAGCAGCAACAGGGGCACGAGGTGTCTGTACACCTGAAATGAATCGCAATACACCTGCAGGCGAAGAGAAGTTGCTGCTTTGTGAGTCCGCTGCAGCGCAGCAGCACCACCTTCTAAGAACGACCGCACTAAAACTTCATCCTTCGCGCTGCTGCTGCTGCTGCTGTGCTGCTGCTGCTGCTGCTGGTGCACAGGGGGAAGCGACGAGAGCTGCTGCTGAGCAAACGGCTCCTCTGGACGCGTCTCTTCTTCCTGCTGCTGCTGCTTCAGCTGGAGCAAACCAAAGGCGTGCTGCAGCAGCGGCATTGCTGAGGGAACAAATGGAGACATCAAACACCTGTTTCTGCTGCTGTCGGTGCTGTTGCTGGTGCTGCTGCTGTTGCTGCTGCAGGAGCTGCAGCAGCAGCGCGGATGAAGATAATTGGGAGCAGCAGCAGCAGCAGCAACAGCAGAAGCAGACACCTGCTGCTGCGCATCATATTCATAAGCGACTTCATACAGCACCCGCCTCCATATCCACCGCGCCTACATTCATAAGACAAAAGAATTATTTATTTATTAATTATTTATTTATTTACTCTTCCTCCTCTCACTGTTATTATTAATAATTAGAATAAATATAATTATAAATATAAATATCAGGGTAAATAGAATAAGTGCACACAAAGAAGAAAAACAAATACAGCTGTGCATGCAGCATGAAGCACCGCAGCAGCAGCAGCAGCAGCAACAGCAGCAGCGGAAAACAAAGACACTCGCAGATGCAACAGGAATACCCGGGGCAGCAACAGCAGCAGCAGCAAGAACAGCAGCAAAAGCAGCAGCATGAACAGCAACAGCAGCAACAACAGCAGCATGTACTTTGAATATTTGTTGTGGTGTTGCTGCAGCAGGCAGTGGAGCCAGGAGGCGACTAAGAAGGAAGGCAGCTCTGCTGCGCGTTCTTGTGAGGCTTTCTAGAGACATCCGCAGCAGCAACTGCAGCAGCTGCTGCCGCTGCTGCAGGTCAGGTCCACATGCAGCAGCAAGATGCTGCTGCTGCAGCTCCGCCATAGATAGCTGTCCCTCAGCAGCAGCACCAGCGCCACCGGTGCTGCACCCGCTGCTGCTGCTGCTCTCGCTGCTGCTGCTGTTGCTGCGTCTATTGCAGCAGCAAGGAAAGGACTCTAGAATGAGAGCAGCAACTTCAGCAGCAGCTTCTCTCACCCAGCTGCCTACGTCCCCTCTCTGATCAACAGAATAATCTGCAGCGCAGGTGTCTAGACAGCTCACAATAGCCTCCCAGTCAAGACTTGCTGCTGCTGCTGCTGCCTCTGCTGCTGCTGCTGCCGCTGCGGGGGCTTCCTCCTCCCCTGCTTCTGCTGCTGCCGCCGCAGCCGCAGCTGCTGCATGCACTGGAGATACTGCTTCTATAAGAGAAGACAGACACAGCAAAGCGCTTCTCCTGCTGTTGGGGTCGTTGAGGTCTGTACACCCCAAAGGAGCCAGCGCCGTTGCTTCCTGCAGCAGAACAGGCAGCAGCAGCAGCTGCTGCTGCTCCTGCTGCACCAGCTGCCCATCCTGGGTGTCGCTTCGGTTCTGCTGCTGCACTGACGCCGCCTGCCTCTGCTGCTGCTGCTGTTGCTGCTGCTTCTGCAGCTCCAGGCGATACACCTGAGCAGGCAGCGCAGCCAGACCCAGCAGGAATCCGCTGCGGGCGGCGACGTGGTGCTGCTGCTGCAGCAGCAACAGCAGTTTGGGTAGGATTTGCTGCTGCGCCTGCTGCGGCGGCATGCGGTGCTGCAGCAGCGCGCGAATGGCTTCTGCTGCTGCATATTGAACAGCAGCAGCAAATGACTTGAGGCTATCGAAGCAAGAATCTAAATATCTGCTGCACGTTGCCGACCTAAAGGCCCACGATTTGTTCGTTGCTGCACCCACACACGCAGCAGCAGCAGCAGCAGCAGCACAAGCAGCAACAGCAGCAGCAAAGCAGAAGACACGCAGCTTTCAGCCCCCTCCCCCGTTGCTTCTACTGCTCAACACTCTCAAAAACCTTTTGATGCTGGCGCTACTCTTGTTGCTGCTGCTGTTGCAGCTGCAGGTGCAGCTACTACAGCGGAGCATTCTGCTGCTGCCCCTGCCCCGGTGCTGCTGCTGCAGTTGCTGCCGCTGCTGATGCTGCTGCTGCAGGTGAGCAGCAAGGCCCTACCAATGGAGGTGATAAAGCTGCAGACAGCTTCTCTTAAGAGATCTCCTCCTCTTCGTCTGTACGGTCTTTGCTTTTCAAAGACAACGAGGCTGTTCCTCACTTGCTGCTGCACATGCGCATCCACCACCCCTGCCGCTGCTGCTGCTGCTGCTGCTGCTGCTGCGTTGCTGCCCTCCCGTGCCAGTTCTGCCGCGGCGCCCACAGCACGTTGTGCTGCTGCTGCTGCCCCCGCACCAGCAGCAGCAGCAGCAGCAGAAGCTGCAGCAGCAGCAGGAACAGGAGCAACATCTGGTGCTGCTGGAAGTGCCTCCACGAGGGAAGCAAGCAGCAGATAGGCGCCGTGCAGCTCCTCAAGCGCAGCGCTGGGCTGCTGCAGTCGCTGCAGCTGCAGCGGCAGCAGCACCTGCAGCACCAAGGCAGCAGCAGTACAGCAGCAGCAGCACATCGAGTCAAATCGACGGAAGAGATGCAACTTGCATAGAAAAAAAAAGACGCAGGCAACGCCGTGCTGCTGCTGCTGTTGCTGCTGCAGCTAGTGTGTGCTGTGGAAGACGGGGTGGTGCTGGCCTCTGCTAAAGCACTGCTGTTGCTGCTGCTGCTGCTGCTGCTGGTAGGAATCTGCAATAAGGGCTTACGGAGGCAGCGTAGGGTTTGGCGTAGGGAGTAATGCGTGCAACAGCAGCAGCAGCTAACTGCCTCATTTGAGGATCGGGGTGTCTGTACACCCGGCAGCACAAATATTCGAGTAGAACAATAGACAGAGGTACATCCTGCTGCTGCTGCTGCTGCTGCTCCTGCAGCTGAGGTTCGAGGGCAGCAATAGCAGGTGCAGCAACAAGGAAGCTGCTGCGTCTGCTGCCAATCGTAAAGTAGTCTGCTATTGTAATAATGCTGAGGCCCTGCTGCAGCTGCCCTTGTCTGCCTTCGATTTCCTGGAATGCTGCAGCAGCAGCACGTCGCATGCAGACGGAGCTATCAAACAGCAGCGCCAGCAGCAGATGCCTCCCCAGAGAGCGCCGCAGCAGCAAATCTGCTGCTGCAGCAGAGTAGCAGCGTGCAAAGGCCCAAGCCCCATAACAAGCAGCATCTCTCACGCATGCACCCGACCCACTGCTACTGCTGCTGCTGCTGCTGCTGCTGCGGCCGGTATACACGACGCAGCGGCATAAGAACCGCAGCGCCTGAGGCAGCTGCTGCTGCTGCACTGCCCCCAGCCGCAGCAGCTCTGCAACAGCGAGACATGTGCCACTCAAAAGCCTCTCTCCAGCAGCAGAAGAGGCCCCTGATATACTCTCTCTCCACAGACTGTCTGTTGCTGCTGCTGCTGCTGCTGTCTTTGCTGCTTCTCCTCCTGCTCCTGCTCCTGCGGCTGCTCCTCCTGCTGCAGTTCCTGTTGCTGCAGCACCGCTTGCTGCGCTTGGAAGCAACGGCAACGTCTCTGCTTCAAAGTTTTGCAGCACCGCGCAGCAAACCTAAACACCCCACACACAACTGATATATATATTTATATTTATATTTATATTTATATTTATATTTATATTTATATTTATATTTATATTTATACGGAATTCCCAGTCAAGTCCTGCATGCATCACTGCAAATCCAGCTGCTGCTGCTTATGGTGATGCTGCTGTTCCTGCTCTTTTTGCTGCTGCTGCAGCTGCCTGTTGAGCGTCTACTGCTGTTCCTAAACCGTTGCTGCTGCTGCCGCCGCCGCAGCAGCTGGTGTTGCAGCTGCAGCAGCAACGGTTCAGGAACAGCAGCTGCTGATGCAGCAGCCGCTGCCGCAGCTGCTGCTACTGCTGCTGCTGCTGCTGCTCCTGTTGCAGCAGCTGCCGCTACTGCTTCTGACCTGTTCAGCAAATTCTTTGGGTAGGGCTAGGGAGACCCGGCCAATTCCTTTTGCTGCTACCCACTGCACTCTGCTGTCTGCATCGGCGAGGCGCTGCAGCGCAAGAGAGAGGAAGGCCTCAACTGCTGCTGCTGCTGCTTCAGAAATGTCTGCTGCCTCCGCCTCCTCTTTTTCCTCCTCCTTCTCCTGCTGCTGCTCCTGTTGCTGCTCCTGCTGCTGCTCCTGTTGCTGCTGCTGCTGCAGCAGCAGCTCCAGAGAGCGAGCGTTTATGCAGTACCGCCACTTCGCAGGCTTACTGGGCAGCAACAGCAGCGCAACGCGAGCAGCACACGAAAGCTGATGCTTGCGAAGGAGCGCCGAGGCCTGCAGTAGCTGCTGCTGCTGCTGCTGCAGAACGAGGCGCTGGATCCTAGGCAGCAGCGGAGCAGCATCTGCTGCGCGGAGTATCTTTAGCACCTTCTGCAAGGCGGCGAGAGCTGCAAGAAAAACAGCAAAAAGAAACAAACAAAAGCAAGCTTGGGGCTGCATGCAGCTGCTGCTGCATGCGGCACAGCAAATGGGGGCATACGCAATTATAAAGAGAAGACAACTAAATAGGTAGAAGCAGATCTCCTTGTGCTGCTATGGATTTGTTTCAGTGCACTTGCCGTTTGTTTGCTCGCTACCAAACAGGCTGCCAACTCCCGGCTGCTGCTGCTGCTGCTGCTGCTGTTCTTGCTGCTGCTGCTGCTGCTGCTGGTCTTGTTGCTGCTGGCCCCAGAGTTTGAGCTCGCAGTACCGAAGGAAGGTTCGTAGGAGAAGCTGCTGCTGCTGATGCGTATCTGGCCGCAAAAAGAGAGACTGCAGCAGCAGCGCAGCAGCATCTGTTGCTTTGGAGGCCCCTGAGAAGGTGGAGAGAGACAAGTGCAGCAGACGCCAACCCAGAGGAGCGTCTGCTGCTTCAGCCAACTTCAATTGCTGCTCTTCTTCCCGTTGCTGCTGCTGCTCTTCCTGCTGCTGCTGCTGCTGATTCTGCACTAGCTGCTGCTGCTGCTGCTGCTGCTGGTTTGTGTTGCTGTTGGAGTCTAGAGACAGCAAACTAAAGGGAGCTAACACGAGGAGAGAAAGCCAAGCAAAAAGGGTAAAGATAGAACTCCAAAGAGGCGCGCTGTCGCGACAAACAGCAGCAGCTGCTGCTTCTGCTCTTGCTGCTGCTGCTGCTGCTGTTGCTTTTGCATCTTGTGCTGCTCCTGCGCACGAATTATCATTGCTCTGAGGTTGCTGCTGCTCCTCCTCCCGCTCCTGATACTGCTGCTGCTGCTGTTGCTGCTGCTGCTGTAGTGCAGCTGCAGCAGCCAGCACCTGCTCCAGCAGCTCGGGCTCTTGTGGCAGCAGAGAGCGAATGGCTTTCGTTCCCCTCACTTTGCAGTGTACGTACACCAGGTGCAGCAGCATGCGGAGACAGCAGCAAGAAACTGCTGCTGCCCACTTACAACGAATGCGCTTCAGCTGCTGCTGCTCCTGCGCTAGCAGCAGCAAATGCCGCCTAACGGGCTGTACAAGTACTTCTAGCTGCTGAGGCAAGTAAGGATCTAACAACTGCGGCTGCTCCTGATATCGCTCCAGTGTATATACAACTTCTGCTGCTATGCTACAAAAACGACGCAGCCACACATCCACACTGAAAACCGTTAGCTGCTCCCCTTCTGCTGCTTTTGCTGCTGCCGCTGCTGCTGCTGCTGCTGCAGCGGGCGCTGCAGAACCATTCCCCTGCTGGGAGCTGCAAGATGCAGTCACAGGAGAAGATGTTGCTGGTCGTGCTGCTGCTGTTGTTGCCTCTGCCGCTGCTGCTGCTGCTGACTCGGTTTTCTCTATGGAGGCATCCTCAAGAGCAAGTGCTGCTGCCTGTTGGGTGAGGTCAGCCAGAGTGTGCAGCTGCTGCAGCACGAGTTCAGCTTCTTTGAAGAAGAAGGCCTCGCATCGTGCAGTGTCATCTTTGGTGGCTGCTTCTGCTTCTGCTTCTGCTGCTGCTGCTGCTGCTGCTGCTGCTTCCGCTGCTGCTGCAGCGGATGCTGCAGCAGCACCCGCTGCCGGTGCTGCTGCTGCTTGTGCTGCGGAGTCCTTCAGCCAATGTTGGGGCCTTACATCAGGCTCAGAGGCCCGGTGAGAGAAGGAAACCGGCAAGGCATCCATGTGTCTGTACACCTCGTGCTGCGGAGGCAGCACTAGTAGTGGATCGCTGCCGTTTGAACTCTCTCCTCTAGTAATAATGCGTTAAAAATAATATGCTTTATTCGTTTTGTTTGAAGGAACTAAGAAGGAAAAAGAAACAAAGAGGCGCCTCAGGGGCCCCCAAGGGGCCCCCGTACAAACACAACGCAGGGCCCCCCTTCATTGCAGCAGGGGGGTTGGCAGATCGTGTAAGAAATCTGTAGAAAAACTTAGAATTATGAAGAATTACTCATTATATTTTTGTTAGTGAAAAAATAAAATGTTTAAATTAATCATTTTCAATGTTATTGAGTGCTTTCACTCACTGGGTAGGCCCCAAGGAAATCTTTCTACAACACTGGGTTCGCGAGCTAATATATATCTCTACTCTTTGGTCTTTATTTATGTTACTGTTTATATTAATTTGAGGTTTGCATTTTGTTTCATTAAGAAGTAAAAGTGCTTCATTTGCCGGCCCTCCACTGCCGCCCGCATACGCGCTAGCTGTAACGGTATTCCAGCTAAGCTTGTCTATGCTAATATTTGTATTTCTATTCTCCTACAAGTTGGTTAATAAGAAAGGGAAAGTGCAAAACAATTACCCACCGTGGTAGTGCATGCATCAAAATGGGGCTTGGATATGCATGCATGCATTGGAGTTGGCATATATACACTTACCCGGCCTGAATAGGAAGCCTCAACAGCAACCAGAAGTATAACAATTGCCTTCACGGCTGGTGCAGACCCAGAAAGGTTCTTCGTCTGTGCATGCATGCGAAACTGCCTCGCAGCATTAGTTGCAACGGAGTGCGCTGTTACCAAGCACCAACCCCCCCCGCCCCCCCCAAACTCCCGCTCCTTTCACCAACCCTTAGGCCCTTGGGCCTCTGCGACGGTACCTCTGGAGAGTGTAGGGAATGCCAATTGCTGTTTTCTTGCTAGTTTTTACGCTAAGTTCCTTGAGTCAATTGCAGCTCACGACGGACAAAGGAGAAGAACAAAGCAGGAATTGCAGAGGGTAATGATGCTCCTCATTCGTACCTGAGGGCCTTTGTAAACTGTCAGCGAGTAAAAGGAAAAAGAGCTTTTTAAAAAAATGCGTGCACAAACCCCCTAGCGTCCCGTGTAGCTGCTGGGTAGAGGAGGCGCCCTGCAAGGCGGGAGGCGGAAGTTTTACCTCAAGTCTTTTCGAATCAATTGCACGCACACACACAAACATACACACACACTTGTCCACGACTAAAGCCGAAGAAGATCCTTTTTCTTGTACTTTGAAGCACCGCATGGGTGAGAGGGTCTCGTGGATTTTACGAACTACACCACACTCTTCGCGAGTGTGAGGCCTGATGGATAGCACTCATTAATGGTGATAGCCTTTTCAGTGGAAACAAAAGAAGAAAACTGTTCAAGCACTTTTCTTCAAATCTCTCCTATGTTATTTTTGATGCCATTTACACTCTTGAATAGTGTAATGATATATCCTTTGAAGGGGAGGCAACCAACAGCTGAGAGCTCCTTGTGTTGGAATGAGCTAAGCATCCCCAGTTTATTCAAAAAGAAACAGTTTCTTTAAGCACAGTTATTCGAAAAGAATCTGACTGGCCGTACCGAGCGTTCAAACGATGACGGCGGTTAAGATACTACGAAAGTGGAGGAAAGCCTTGCCTGTTCATTTCGTCCTCAAAGGCTCCCGAGGAGCTACAGTTGTTTTTGATTCGTTCTGCTTTACAAGATAAGGCACATGGATGGTGGCTCTGCTTAGGCAGGATGCCTAAACATGAGAACTATACAAACTTTCCGTGATACGCTGTAATGTACGTTCGTTCCCAGTCCAGCAAATCAGCAGGCTATGGCGGAACTAAGAAAATTTTGAAAGGGGAGGACGAGCCGCTGACAGTGTGGTAAATCAAGAAATACCGCTCCTCCTGTGTTCTGCATTGACGGTTTGCTGCGACGCGAGAATCAAAGGCAATCGCCACATTCTGCATGCAGGAAGCAGCAGAAACGTATAGACCTGCGCACCAGCTCTTAGAGAATCAGGCCATTCAATTCGATATTGCAATCTTATGCGATGCACGACCGTGCGCACTTAGTGGAAATGCTTCTAAACATTCCGGAAAAACACAGAAAGGTCTTAATACTGTTCAGCGCTCATTCGATGTGAGGCAAGAAATAGTGATTAACTTATCGCTGCACTTCGGCGGGTATATTCGAGAGCCCAACGAACATACAGGTTTACTTTAGTGTTCTTGAGCGAGTATAGAAAGCGGTCTTGTGCCTGTCGTAGGAAAGTGCTACCGTGAAGCTAACGAATGCAAGCGGCCAAGCAGCTTGTCGTTCAGAGGAGTCGAGAACTTCTTCTTCAACGTGACTGCATAGAGGGGCTTAAACTCGACGCCGATGCGCCACTACGTATTCGTTTGCTCCCACTTTCCTCTTCAAGATGCGGGGTCTCGTGTGGAAGCTGCAAGCTTTCCCTATACTAAGCCACTCACAGCATGCATATGACAATCTCTTGTTGAACTGGTCCAACTCCAAGCGTGATCCGTTTCTGAGTTGAGTCAGCACTTCACTTGCAACGTTGTGTTGATCTTCGCCTCTTTTCTCCCAAGGGTTCCCATGGAGGCCCTGCTCGGCCTCCTGCACCTCCTACTTTTTATATCTGCACTCCTGAGTTGCTTAACCCCTTTTGCTGCAGAGGAAACAAATAAGCTGCTTGATACTTCTGCCCAGCTTTCTGAGTGCCGAATTCGCCGGCTTCCGTCGGATCTAGCTTGGTAACTGTTTCTGGGGTGAGCTGCTTTTCACAGAGCCAGTGTCCACATATTCTGTATGCTGGCGTAAGTAGGCAGGCATACACCTACGAACTTCGAAGAAAGCATGTCACTACGCACCCTCTGTCGCTGTGCTCAGCGTGGCTGCAGACAGTGGCTGAGCTGACGTCGGTGCATTTGAAAGCAAAGCTATAGTAAAGTACTGCCATCTTGTAGCGTTCCGCAGTCCCACATATATATATACGTAATGTATATTAAATATATATATGCAATATATATATATATATATATATATGTAATATATATATATATATGTATATATATTACATATATATATATGTAATATATATTAAATATATATATGTAATATTACAATATATTTGTATTTGTTCATCGTCAACACCGACACGAGCTGTACGTGCGAATGCTTCAATATACCAAGCAGACTAATGCTACCTTGCAGGACAAGAATAGAATATCCACTGATTTTTTCTAAAGAAGTGTAGCGCCTGCGTAAGCGAACCAATCTCTTATGCAGGTTCCCCTAATTCGCCCTAATTCGCCCCCTTGGCAATTTAATGGTGAGTACAGAAACGCCAGGAACAATTACCGGTAACATTGAAATAGACGGAGCGTTCAAAAGTTTCTTGCATGCACATCGGCTGCTCTCGGTTTGTATTTTGCAGTACTCTACTAGACATGCTCACGATAAACGAGATTCAGCCAACTTTACGATTTAAATTGGCTTATCCGGTTTTGCTTTTTGTATTAATATAGCAGCTTTTTGCGTTAACTTATATGGGAGATCCCCCCCCAGCCCCGACTGCAATGCTCTGAGACCGTTGAGTTGATCTGGGCAGTTTCCCCCAGCCCCTCTGATGCGGGATATTTTTTTTGTCATTTTGGTTTTTTGATTTGTATTAAAAGGCACTTTCGGCTTTGAAATCTTCGCTATCTAGTGGTGTAACCTGTGCTTGCCGCCGTATTAAGCCTGTGGCGAGCTTCGAGGCGGCAGAGAGCCTTCGTTTCAACTTGCTTTCCTTGATTTCGTTTTTTTTGTGTATAGCCGCATGCTAATTGATTAGACTTTGAAAATTGGGCCTGTGCATGCAGTAGCCCCGGCCGAATTCCTGCCGACGATTTAGAGAAAAGGTGGATATACAGACAACGCAGCAATAAACCAAGAACGGAACACCTCTGTGGCACTGTTCTCTGGACATTTTCGAGCATTTGCAAGGGAAACGCAGTTTTTTTGACAACGAAACTTACAGCTGCAGCAGCGGAGGAGCAGCAGGGAGCGGCAACTGTAACAGCAGCATCAGCAGCAACCGCAAAAGCAGCAACAGCAGCACGTGGTAGTCGATGACGAACATGATTGAAAAGGAGGTGCAGTTTGGACCCTTTCTACCAGGGCAAGAGGCACAGGAAGAGGGAGAAGAGGCCTCTGATTTGCCTCCCCCGCCTCCGCCGCTCCTGTATCCTCGGGGTGTATGCACAGCTGCTTGGGACAAGGCGAGGCTGCAGCTGGCGTTGTTGCTGTCGCGCACTGCAGCGGATGTTGGAGCGGCTCCTTCGACTACAGCAGCTGCTACAGCAGCATTTCATATGAGTTTGTCTTCTTTCTTCCACATCGACCCTTCGGCTGTTTCCTCCAGCCTCTCTGCCTCTCTCTTTTTGTCTGCAAAAGCAGCAGATGAAGAGTTTAACCTCAGACGCGTCATCGCTTCTCTTGGCTTTTGCAGCCACCATGCATCGGCAGCAGCAGAGGAGCGCCGGAGGCAACAGCTCCACAAGGAGCAGCCGCTCAAGCAGCAGCAGCGGCAGCAGCAGTTTGCTGGGGAATACGTCGCCTTAGGCATCAAGGAATATTGGCGTCAGAGACAGAGCTGTTTCTTAGAAGAACAGAGGCTTATGCAAGCACTGGCCTTCACTTTTCCAAATCCAACAATCTGGCAGCAGCTGCCTCTGCTGCTGCTGCTGGCTCGGCCCGCCGCTGCAGAAGCTGCTGTCACAGCAGCTCTTGTTGCTGATGCTTCTGTGGGGCCTCTTGTGGCAGAAACTGAAGAGAGAATTTTCTTATCTGCTGCATGCTTGCTTGCGAGGAAGCTGGTATGCCGATTCCGAGACAGAAACAAACAGCTGCAAGAGCAGCAGCAGCAGCAGCAGTGGTTGTTTCCTCCCAGTTCTGCCGCCGTTGCTGCTACTGCCGCAACGCCTGAACATAAAGCAGCAGCAACAGAAACGGTGCAGCTTCTAGAAGATGAGATCAATGCAACTGCAGGAGCGCTACGGCCAGGAGAGAGTGATACGCGTAGTCTGCTGCTGCGGCTGCTACCAATGCTGCAAGGCATCAGCAGCAGTATTGACCAGTGCAGCAGCAGCAGCAGCAGTAAGAACAGCAACGGGCCGTTGTGTCAGCAGCTCGCTGCAGCAGCCAGGAAGATGCTACTGCAATATACGTTGCTGTTGGATGACAGCCATGGGCACCAAGTGTATAGACGGCTGGCTGGGGTGGAGGCTTGAATTATTCTGCGCGTCTTTGCATTCTTGAAAAGGGAGTATTCAGATTGGTTTCTCCGGCCTTCTTCTTGTGGCTTGGGTGTAACTATCTCCGTGCAAGTGCTGCTCCTTCTGCTTCTGCCGTTTCCTGTCAAAGGTTGCTACTGGTAGTGTTTGAGCTGGTGCTGCAGCCAGAGCTACTGTTGCTCCTTCAGTTGTTTCTACTGCCGATATCATTATGGCCGCTCTGATTCCTGCTGCTCTTGCTTTTAGGCCAGTTGCTTATGAAACTGCTGCTACTGCTATTTTGGTGTGTAGCGTAGTTGAACTTCCTGGAGATTTATTTGGTAGAGAGGGAACGTTTGAAATAAAAAATGGCAGCTGGAAGACAGAATCATTATTACGTGCATGAAGGGACCGCTCAGGGGGACTTTTGAAGCCTTTGAACTGTTTGAATTCCATTTTTGTTCAATTGATTCTGTGGATCCTTGTCGTTGAGGTGTGTCGACTTCACGCAGTACGCGCAGACGAGCCAACGCAATTGCTGCAGCTGTGATGCAGAGTCGTCTAGGCAATGAAATATGATAATTTCTTCACTCCGTAGTTACAGTGAAGATGTGGTGAAGAGAATCAATACGGGGTAGGCAGTAACAGCCACTTAAAGGAAGGAGGAGCTGCAGGGCTCAGCCAGAACTGTTGAGGCGATCCTAAGATTAATTGAGGGGATAAGCAGCAATAGGAAGGAGCTTAAGGCATCAGCACATAACCCTCAAGTAAACAAAGAACATATGAACCCTACTAGACAACCACCAGCTGGTATCTTCTTGAAACAATGGGGCCGCAAATAACTGAGGGGCGCGTGAAAGGCTAGAGAACTACTTTCAACCACGACTGCATAATAGAAAAGTATGCATGTTCGTCTGGTACGGAAGGGGCCTGAGGGCTCTCTTGAGGCTGTCAAATATTTCCAAAAGTCTAGTTTGGTGGGTTCTTGAGCAATTGCCGAGGCACCCCGACGTGCAAGCGTTACTGCTGAACGGAAAACGCATGCCAGTATCGGCGGAGGCTCTGGCCCGGTTTTAAAATTTGCAAGTCTATAACATTTTTAGATGCCTTTACTGGCCAAGTAGTTGCTTTGCATTCGTCGTCGAGGTAGCATGCTGAAGCAAATATTTACACCTTTCAACAAATGAGCTAACAGGTGACGGGAAGTAGGAAACAGCGTACTGGTGCTGTTTGCACCAGGCATATATATATATATATATATAT